TCCAATCATAAAACTACTTTATTTGATTCTTAAAGAGAAAAATCGAAGGATGCCTAAATGATATTTTACTACGTTCTTTGTTTTTAGTGAAGTGTGCTCGACCGTACGGGACACAAGTAGTGGTTATTTCTATTTCTATCTCATCTAAGCAATGTCATCAACAGTTTTAGATTCTTATTCTACCTAGTGATTTGCCTTGTATATCATATAATTTTTTTGAATAGAACGACAACGCCGATACAAGCTAAAGATAAGGAAAAGAAAAAGGAAAGAAAAAAAAGGAAAATACAACCGACAAAAAATACAAAGAAGACTATAAGCGCCTATAGGAAAACAAAGCTGCATCCTTGGCCAACGGAGTGAGTAAGTCATCCGGGGGATAAGCCCAAATCGTAAAGAACGCTTATTCCTTAGCGCCTCTCCGAGCCAATATATCAGCAACGGAATTCCCCTCTCTCCATACGTGGAAGAACCGCACATTCCCGATCAAACTAATCCTATCCCTAATGTTCATGAGCAGTCCGCCCATAACATGATTAACTACGGATGCACTTTGAATCAGCCGGAGAGCCTCTTGCGAGTCGGAGTAACAAGTGAGCGTTGTGCACCTCCGAGCCAATGCTAAATTTAACCCTTCAAGAATCGCGACCACTTCGGCAAGAAAATTGTCGGCAATTCCTATGTTACCTGAAATCCCCTCGATCCACGCCCCCTCGTGATTACGCAAAACAGCTCCGAAGTCGGACGGGCCCGGATTGCCCATTGACGAACCATCAGTATGCAAGATCATTCCCTTACAACAATAAGGGTTCCAGGTAACAGTTTTAGAAGAACTATCTCGCCTAGCCCCATCCCTGAACATGTTCGCCCGCCTCCTTGTCTCCCGCCACCATTGGAAGAATGATAAGATGTCCCTGACAATAGTGTAAGGAGATCTAGAAGGCTTACCAAACACCCTGTTATTGCGTTCCACCCACAAGAACCAAAGAGCAAACCGCAACCCCGTGGGCGCATGAGCGATAAAATCGAGAGCTTGGCTATCAAGTGGAATAGTATGAGCCAGCCGATAAGGAAAACCGTAATAAATTAGCCCAGCCCAAACCTGAGCAGTCCACGAGCACTCAAAAAGCATGTGCACCCAATTCTCCATTCCATCCCCACAAATCGTACAAGCCCCCGTAGAATCAAGATGTCTTCGGTGACGCAACTCCATCGTAGGTAGCGACCGATGCCCAATAAGCCAACAGAAGAAATTAATTTTCTCAGGAACGTCTGCTCTCCAAATCTTTTTCCACTTCGTCTTCGTGTTTACGCCCTAATTTAACAGCCAGTCGTAGCAAGAAGCCACAGAATATTTCCCAATACTACCAACCGACCAACACCACCTATCAGGCACATAAGGATGAAGATAAATATTCCTCGCGTCCGTCAGGGCCTTAATAATGTGATCTGGGAAGGGCGTGTGTAACGACTGAAGATCAAACCGTCCATTAACGATCAACTGACAACAAGATTTATCAGAGTCCGATATATGGACATAGTCAACAAGACAATTGATAGGTTTACCTTGAAGATAAATTCCCTCCCAGAAATTGGTCTCCTCATTACCTAACCTGTAGGTGAAACCATTCGCAATGATGGAAAAACACCTCCTCAATGCAGTCCAGACAGACGAGGATTGGGTCTTAGACCCTTTGATCCCCTCGTAACCCCTTCCAAATCGGTGTGACAAAGCTACAACCCAAAGAGAAGGAGTGCCTTCGATATAATTGCTGACTTTCTTCCCCAGCATAGTTATGTTCATTTGCCGAGTTTGACGAAGACCAAGTCCCCCCAAGCGACGCGGCTTAGCCACTGTTTGCCATTTAACTAGATGTAAACCCCGACCATCGCGGTCTCTCCAAATAAATCTCTTAATGATGCTATCAATTTGTTGGCAAGTTTTCTCCGGAAACCATGCAATTTGCATAAAATAAACCGGAATAGTGGAAACAACCGAGCGCGCCAGAGTAGTACGAGCCGCCTTGTTAAGAAATTTAGCACGCCACGGGGGAAGCCTCCGAGAAATACGCTCTATAATGAATTCAAAGTGAGAAACCTTACGCCTTCCAGCAATGATGGGAAAGCCCAAATATTTATCAAAAGCATCCGTCATTGGAATGAAGAGGTGATGGCATATCCGATTGCGCTTAGCTGTTGGGGTCGACACTGAAAAGATGATTTCAGACTTACTCAAGTTAATCGCTAGGCCCGCTTCATCCGCAAAGGCATGGAGAACTTTATTAACAGTTTTGGCCGTAGCGACATTAGCTTGGGCCATAATCAAGACATCATTAGCGAATAACAAATGGCTAAGCGCCGGGCCTCCCCGAGACAACACAATGGGATCCCAATTATGCGTACTGACCTCCCGGTTGATGGTTCTAGTTAGCCGCTCCATTATGATGACGAACAAATAAGGAGAAATCGGATCCCCTTGGTGTTGTGTACAAATTATTCTTTTTACCGAGTACCGAATCGAAAGATTCGTTCCCCGGGTCGATCTCACGAGGAAGGCGGTTCGGAATTCAACTTTGGTATTGACAGCACATAAAAGCAAAATAAATCCTAAACACTCTAATCAGATAAAGATTGGGTGGATTATCAACTAGGAAATAAAATAAAATGCATAAAATATAAATTTACCTAAAACATGAAAGCTTAGCTCAATTACGAAGCTTTAGGGAAGCGAGTCCCAAGTGGATAAACCTCAATTAAGAAGATCAGGGATATCCGTCATGGCTCAAAATACGATTATCGAGCAAATGATGATTCGGTTAAGAGAATTTGATAAACTACTCGTTCAGAGATTGTCCTCAATAACTCTTCGTAACAAGAGGATTAATATGAATGGAAAATCAATAAGTCCTTTTAAACATATTGGCAATACCATTACGAACAAGCCAATTTCATGTGGCCTAGGTCTATCGACTCCTCCTCTTTCGATTCCAAAAGTCGATTAAATAGCTTAATGGTTTTTAATCAATCAAGCAATAGATTCCATGAAATCATTCAAGAGCAAATCCAACCCAATCGATGAACAATTGTAAATTGAAGTGTCACTACTTCAATGATTTTCAAAATTCCAAAACAATTTCACAAAACTCTAGTCAAGATCAACCCACATAAATTGAATAATCAACAAGCACAATAATCATAATTGAGATCAAAACATTAATCCCCTATCCCTAGCATGAAGATTTAGCTACTCATATTCAAGATTAAACAATCAACCATACAAACCCAAGCTTCCATAATCAAAGATCAATTGAAAGAGAAACTTACAATTTAGATGAAATTGAAGGTTTAATCCAAGCACAAGATAAAAATCTCCAAGTGATGATGAAATCCAACATTAATATAGTGTTCTTAGGGTAAGAGAAGGGGAAAAAAACGAGTTTGGGGGATTCCTTTCGGTCTGGGAACGAGCCCCCATGCCAAGTACTTGAAAAAAACGAACAAAACCTAGCTTTTAAAAATCTGGTCGCGACCTCCGCGGCTGCGGGAGGCTCCGCGGCCGCGACATTTCTGCGCTGAAGTTTGGGAACTGGCAGATTTTTGTTCGCCGCGGCCGCGGTGAAGAAAGGGTCGCGGCCGCGGCGATGAAATCTGCACTGCACGACTTTACGGTTTTTGCTCGTTCGGGTTCGTTTTAACTCGGAATTGAGTTCCGTTCTTTTCTACGCGTTGCTAACGAACCCCTCTTTCTAATGGTGTCAGCTTCCCCAAAAAATTCCCAGAAACCTGTTCTCCCGAAGCTCCCGACCTACACACCAAAAACGAAAACACAAACGGAAGACTACCAGAAAAAATATAAGAATTACCGGGGCACTCAAGACAACACAAAACACACGATAAATGACAAAATAAACCTAAAACCAACTAAATGACTCGTAATGGGGGAAAAAGAATGAAAAAATAACAACGAAAAATGCAACAAAAATGGGACAAACAACTCCCCCACACTTAAACCTTTGTTCGTCCCGAACAAAAAGAAAAAAAAAAAAACATGACACGAGCATTGATACGGTTTCAAATAAGAAGAGTCTCAAAATGCCCAATTCAATTGAGTCGAATTCCAATGAACGTACAACCATATGCCTCAAATATCAACTTGACCTCGAAATGACAAACTCTCAAAACATAGATCATCATATGATAGGTACACTCAAAATTGGTCAATATTCAAGTTTCAACATATGCTTGCCAACAGTCTAATTTACTCGAAAACGATCAAAGCTCAAAATATGCGAATCAAGAGGACTTCACGAGTTGTAATGTGGGCTAAGAAAAAGGTATGGATATATATGTGGATGATAAGCTCAAATAGTCAATCAAAGTTTTTCGAGTAATAGAATACTCGAATGTCCGCTATTCACCCAATTCAACAATACAAAACATATACCATCCACCAACAACTTCCCCAAACGACATCTAATTGCTCTATCATCAAATTGCAAAATAACTTGACCAATTTTTTTGGATTTTTTTATACTCTTTTTTATTTCACTTTATTTTTTATTTTAGGAGTAACTTTTTCCGAACAAGATCGAACTAAAAGGACAACATTCTGTAGGTGCGAACATTGAAGGTCATCCAAGTATCCTAAAGTAGTTTTCAAATGCTCATTACTCGCCAACATGAATCGACTAGTAAGAGGAGCAGAATCCATTCAATTCGTCCTGTGAGCTCTCATGTTTTTTTTTTTTTTTCTTTTCAACAGGTCAAGCAAATAAAATGCAACTCAAATTTCCACCATATTCAAAAATGCCACCAATCATCACACAAATTAGTCAATAGGTTGACAAGAAAAGGTTTTAAGCTCAAATGGCTACTAGTGGAATAAATTTTAGGGCCAAAGAACAAGGCAGAAAGAGAGCCAATCAACAAAATGCCTCAATCATATTCGCAATTTCAAACTCAATCGATTCCTTTCAAACAAACTCAAGGCAAGTTCTAATCATTCAAGAATATGACCAATATCTCACAAGAAAGGAATAAGGCTCAAAACCTCACAAGGTAAATAAATGTCACTCAAAGCAATCAAGCAAATACCGAGGCAATGACCACACGTTCATCATCACAACTTCCCAATTTCATCAAACATTCATCAACAATTCATATTATCCACCAATATCATATGCTCAACAACACAAAATCCTAAAACTAGACCGGTCCACCACATAAGCATGCAAAATCCAAATAGACTCCCCCACACTTAGAATGAGGCAATGACCTCATTGCTTCAACACAAAACTGGAAGTCACATAACAGGACCTAGCATTTTCATATAATGAACCAAACTAGCAGCTAACACAAGACACAAACTCAAAAGAAAAGACAAAAGAAAGAAACAACTCAAAAAGAGAAAATAAGAAAAAGGGTGTGCAAACCGAAGTGCCTCGAGGAGAAATAGCATGCATGTGCAAGTCACTCACCTATGCTCAGCCTCGGAACTCGTTATTCCTCTTGCTCAAGCTCGCAAATAGTACCTGTCGAGAAAAACACAAAAGAACTCCCAACTCCAATTATTAAAATATAAAACTAAAAGAGCAAAAAGAAAAATATCTAGAAAGCAGTAAATATCTTGGGTTGCCTCCCAAGAAGCGCTTGTTTAACGTCATTAGCTTGACGAAACCTGAAGAGAACTCAACCGGGATCTAAAAAGAAGTGACGGTCGTGCCATGCCTTCGTATTTTCCAGAAGTGGTAGCCCGGGTAGTGTGGTTAGAAGGCGGGCATAGTGGATCCGGGTGGTCAAGTTCTATATAAAGAGGTCTCGGGTACGAGCAATTCCCAACTCTAGACGTAGAGCTTTTCCCTCCCGAGCTCTATCGTCAACCTCCGGAATGATAAGTACATCTGTGGAGAAAGTCGAACTGAATCCTTCCCTCTTCGTAACACAGTGCAATAGCCCCGAAGACGGATGCTCTAACTCGGAGGTGGGAGGAGGGACTTGAGAATCAAGCCCATGGATCTCCTCCTCTAAAGTATCATCAAGCTCATCATCATCTTCTTCGGCCTCACACATTTGCTTCATCGTGCGGGCTTGAGTATCAAGCATGAGGTGGGGGTCGTCGACTTTTGCCTCGATTGAGCTGGTATGTGCTGCAAGAATCTCTATTTGTGTGCTCAGTCGAGCACACCCGAGCTCAATCTCCACATCTCGAGTGGACTGGGCCGATATGCGAGCAAGGATTAGATCGAGCTTCTCATCGAACGACAAAGCAGCCTCCCGAGGCTCGTCCCTATATGTAGGTTCGCCTTGAGCGGTGGGCTCGGGAGTGACACTGGTAACTCGATCCTCTAAGGCTTGCACGCGCTCCACTAAGTGCTCGATTCTGGACTCCAGATTGCTCCTACGGACCGCTTGGGATGCCAAAAGAGCGAGAGCCTGGTCGAGCTTTGCATTGTACTCAGAGGAGTCCTCGAAAGACTCATATGGCTGCTCAACAGGCCCGTAATCCCACTGCTGCTCGTAAGGATATGATAAGGTCTGGCTGAAGTCCCAAGAATCATAGTAAGGAGGTGGTTGGGCACACTGGGCTGCGGTTTCTTCTTCCTGAGCTAACCGGGATGCTGCGAATTCATAAATACGGTTGAGCTTCTCGTTGAACTCGTGGGACTCATAATGTTGCTCGACCGGGAAGGGGTCCCAGTACTGCTCGGAAGGATATGGATATGGCTGGTTATAGTACCCGGTGTGGTAGCTCGGCTCATTAACCCAAGATTGGGTGTGCGGTGGTGGGTAGACACAGTTGTAGTTCATATCTTCTGCACACCAAAATAGAACAACCACACGTAGCCACGAAAAAGAAGGAAAAAAGAAAAAGAAAGAAAACTAAAACAAAAAGAGCATAGAAAATCAAGGATGCACAAAAGAGAGAACAAAAATACGAAAAATACAAAACAAAGAGAAACACGAAAAATAAAATCAATGCCAAAACTAAATATCCTACTTGCCTTCCCCGACAACGGCGCCAAATTTGTTGTGTACAAATTATTCTTTTTACCGAGTACCGAATCGAAAGATTCGTTCCCCGGGTCGATCTCACGAGGAAGGCGGTTCGGAATTCAACTTTGGTATTGACAGCACATAAAAGCAAAATAAATCCTAAACACTCTAATCAGATAAAGATTGGGTGGATTATCAACTAGGAAATAAAATAAAATGCATAAAATATAAATTTACCTAAAACATGAAAGCTTAGCTCAATTTACGAAGCTTTAGGGAAGCGAGTCCCAAGTGGATAAACCTCAATGAAGAAGCTAGGGAATCGGGGATATCCGTCATGGCTCAAAATACGATTATCGAGCAAATGATCATTCGGTTAAAAGAATTTGATAAACTACTCGTTCAGAGATTGTCCTAAATAACACTTCGTAACAAGAGGATTAATATGAACGGAAAATCAATAAGTCCTTTTAAACATATTGGCAATACCATTACGAACAAGCCAATTTCATGTGGCCTAGGTCTATCGACTCCTCCTCTTTCGATTCCAAAAGTCGATTAAATAGCTTAATGGTTTTTAATCAATCAAGCAATAGATTCCATGAAATCATTCAAGAGCAAATCCAACCCAATCGATGAACAATTGTAAATTGAAGTGTCACTACTTCAATGATTTTCAAAATTCCAAAACAATTTTACAAAACCCTAGTCAAGATCAACCCACATGAATTGAATAATCAACAAGCACAATAATCATAATTGAGATCAAAACATTAATCCCCTATCCCTAGCATGAAGATTTAGCTACTCATATTCAAGATTAAACAATCAACCATACAAACCCAAGCTTCCATAATCAAAGATCAATTGAAAGACAAACTTACAATTTAGATGAAATTGAAGGTTTAATTCAAGCACAAGATAAAAATCTCCAAGTGATGATGAAATCCAACATTAATATAGTGTTCTTAGGGCAAGAGAAGGGGAAAAAAACGAGTTTGGGGGATTCCTTTTGGTCTGGGAACGAGTCCCCATGCCAAGTACTCGAAAAAAACGAACAAAACCTAGCTTTTAAAAATCTGGTCGCGACCTCCGCGGCCGCGGGAGGCTCCGCGGCCGCGACATTTCTGCGCTGAAGTTTAGGAACTGGCAGATTTTTGTTCGCCGCGGCCGCGGTGAAGAAAGGGTCGCGGCCGCAGCGATGAAATCTGCACTGCACGACTTTACGGTTTTTGCTCGTTCGGGTTCGTTTTAACTCGGAATTGAGTTCCGTTTTTTTCTACGCGTTGCTAACGAACCCCTCTTTCTAATGGTGTCAGCTTCCCCAAAAAATTCCCAGAAACCTGTTCTCCCGAGGCTCCCGACCTACACACCAAAAACGAAAACACAAATGGAAGACTACCAGAAAAAACATAAGAATTACCGGGGCACTCAAGACAACACAAAACACACGATAAATGACAAAATGAACCTAAAACCAACTAAATGACTCGTAATGGGGGAAAAAGAATGAAAAAATAACAACGAAAAATGCAACAAAAATGGGACAAACACTTGGCGAAGGCCCCGGAAAGGGTACACTTCGAGAGTCGGCCGGCCATTCCATAGAATCGCAAAATGAGCGGATGTCACACACTCCATGATAAGAGTGACCGAGGGTGCATCCAGTCCCAGTTGTGTTAGCGAGTCACGAAGGAATTTCCACTTCACCCTGTCGTAAGCTTTGTCTAAGTTAATTTTGATGGCGAATTCAGCCCCCCGCTGCCGTTGGTTAAATTTGTGAATAACCTCATGGAGAACGATGACATTGTTGGAAGTTCCTCTTCTGGGAAGAAAGGCAGATTGCTCCAGACCTATGCATTCAACTAAAATTGGTCTCAGCCGATAAAGAATAACCTTAGTCACGAACTTGTAGACGACATTGCAAAGGCTGATAGGTCTATAATCTTTAATATTAAGCGGCGTGTCAATTTTCGGAATCAGGCAAAGATAGGAGAAACCAAGACTAGATGTAAAGCGCCTATTCGCGAAGATATTGTGAATAAATTCGCACATGTCCTGACCAATGAGATGCCAGAATTTCTTGTAAAACGCCGCTGGGAATCCATCTGGCCCCGAGGCCGAGTAAGAAGGGCACGAATGTATCGCCTGTTTGATTTCCAAGTTGGAAACTGTCTGGGTGACCGTCAGTGCTATATCAGGGACCGGAGGAGCAAGAGACTCCGTGAATTCACAACCAATGGGTGTAATGGGACTGTCCGAAAATCGACTCTCAAAATGAGCTATGGCATGCTCTCTGATTGTTGCTTCATCCGAAGTCCAGACATTGTTAACTTGAAGACCATGAATAGCCGACTTATTTTGTGGATTTTGGCAGCTGTTTGGAAGAATCGGGTGTTGCGGTCCCCGTGCAGCAGAATGTTTTCCTGAGATTTCTAAAACCAAATGAGTTCTTCCTGGTGGGGTATGGAATTATATTCCGTAAGAAGTTGCCCCTCAAGGAGAGCTAGTCGCGCCGAATCAACCCGAGTTTGGATGCGTTGGATGCCCAACAAGCGTCTTTGAATTTTGCGCTTACGAGCCCCAATATTGCTAAAGCAAGTTCAGTTAAACGAAATTGAAGCTTCACTGACGGAATTCATATTGAACAATAAATCTCCGTTCCCCAGGTGCCAATTGTCAGTAAGAATCTTTAAATAATCGGGATGTTCTGCCCATGCCTCGTGCCAGCGAAATGGCGGTTGAGGGAGCCCCTGAATGTTCGGTTTTCGATTGCATCGCAAAATGAGAGGGTTATGATCACTATTCCCTCTATTTAACGTTTCCACCATCCCGAAGGGAAACAAGCCAATCCAATTTGTGTCCGCAGCGGCATAATCCAGGCATTTCTGAAAATGTATATTAACTCCCGTGGAAGATCTCCCCCAAGTAAACGGAGGACCAATGCTCTGAATAACTGTCAAATCGCAATGTTGCAGCACGTCATTAAGAATAAATGCTCGATGTTGGATGAACGAACATCTGGTTGATTGGGATGGGCCCGTAACCTCATTCCAGTCACCTATGATGCACCATGGTCCCTCACAAGACACTCGAGCGACCTTCAGGCTATCCCAGTCACTAAGACTTTCTCGAAACGATGGCGATGCATATAACCCCGTAAGCGCCCACTGAAAACCCCCTCGCCCGATGCTAATAGATATGGTTCGGGTCGAGGTGTGAAGAACAGACACCATATATGGGTGGCCTATTTTCTGCAGAAGCCAAATACCACCACTTTTACCTGTCGCCTTTGACAAAACAACACGATCATATCCACAGTGATGCAACCAAACGGCGTGCCTCTCGAAAAGGCATTGAGGTTCCATAACAAAGCAGAAAGTCGGTCGATGCAGAAAAAGAAGATCTTTCAACTGTCTCTGCGAGAACTTGTTGACTAACCCACGAACATTCCAAGATAACACACTGATATCTTTAAACACCTGTAGACACCTGTCATCCAGATTTTGATCGCCCACCAAAAAAGGACGTCTTGTTGAATTGACTGGCGTATGATACATAACACTGATGGCGAGGGAATTAGACCCGTCCTCCCGGCACCACGTCAGGACTTCTAGAATGGGCTTCCAGGTCCTGCCCTTCATTGAGCTCTTCCACTTCCATACCCATATCTCGACAGGCATCCCCCGTCATCGAATTCAGGCACTCGAACTTGTTGGCATGAGTAACCCCCTTTGAGGTTGAAACAATGTCTTGGGCCTGTGTAGAAATGGCCCCCTTAGCGATGCCTGTATGACGCCTTTTTTTTGCCGAAACGTGTGTTGGTTCAACTTCAACCAATTGCAACTGATTTTGGGTGCCCTTTCTATAGCTTCCAGGTACCTCTTTTTTAGAGTGGCTGGGAGTAGCAATATTAACATGTTTCTAAGAGTTAGGCTTCTCCTTACTAGGCCTTTTGTGAGCAGTCCTACTCGGAGGTGTCGTCTCGCTCTTACCTACATTTTTGTTCGGTTTTCCCCTCCTCCTTCTCTGTTCTACCAGCCAATCACCATGTAATTCGGTTGGGGGATTCATGTCATATTCAGAACTAATGGCTTTACCCTTATCAAGTGGTGGCAACGTTTCCTCAGACTCCACTGGCTTAACAAAAGAACACATGTTGCGGTTGTGGCCATATCGACCACATAAGGGGCATAGTAGGTAAAGGCCCTCATACTCCACCTTGTACCAAGTTCCCTGAAAACCCACCTGCCCAACCACGGGCTGATTCAAATCAATCTGGACGCAAGCTCGAGCATACTTCCCCCTTTCGACATTAGAGGTGTTAATATGTATCCGTACTGGAGTGCCCACCATAGATGCCAGGCAAAACATAATATTCTCATCAAACATAGCGAGATTTAGCCCTGAAAGATGAATCCAAACCAAGGTGTTTTCGATCACATCATTAAAAGGATTGAACTGAGGAGTCCATTTCTGAAGTGTGACATAATGTCCTGAAAGCATCCAAGGACCCCCATTTAGGGCTGTGTCCCTATCATCTTCTCTTGTGAATTTCACCATAAAAAAACCATTAGCTAGATCAATCAGCTCAAGATGTCCGTGAGGTTTCCACAAACGCTTAAGCCCCTCTTTCATGTAGAAATAAGAAACTTTTTTACATAATAGGCGAACCACCAACCCATCTTCATACGGACGGCATACTGAGGCATAATATTCTGGGTCTAGCTCCAAGACCGGCTTCAATCGATCATTGTCGATGAGCTTAATCCTCGCTTTTTGTTCTTTGAACAGATCTCGCTTTTGGGGCGGAGGGGGAAGCGGCTTCGAAAGAAGAGTGATGTCTCGAAAAGAGGGCTTCATACCTTTAAAGAGTAGCGGCGTGTCGGGAGGTTCATCTGGTGGCCGGCCATTGGCCGGATTCTCCATCGCCATGTCAAATCCCAATTCCGACGGATTCTCCATTCACTTGTTGTTCCTCAGTTTGGGGTGAATTCCTTGCGTGCTATTAATTATTTTGCTAGTGAGGTTTGTTGAAACTTGAAAGTATGAATTATCATATAATTAAGTTCACTTGAACTTTACATGACTTGTTCAAATGATACTTAGATGAACCCATAAATGGAATTGAATTGTTTCCAGTGTGAAAAATGCAAAAATATATTTTATTGTTCATATTTGTTGTTTATTGGTAGGAAAAATTTTAAAAAGTGGCTATGAGTGTGTGAAAAAAAATATATTAGTATTTAATTAATCAATTGATCATTTTGTTCCCTACTGAAGATCTTCAAGGTTCCTAAAAGATTGCCGCTTTGGTATCCTTGGGCTTTATTTTTTCGAGATGATTCCCAAAATGAAGAACGATCAAACATTTGATTCAAATTCATATAATGAAAAATGACAAACGGTTGATTCAAATATGAAATCAATGTGTTAAAAACCTTGTGAAGAAGTCAAATGTCATGTAGATCAGTCCCTTGGCAGCTCATTACTAAGCATGACTCCATGCAGACGGAAAAAAGACAATAATGAATGTTGCAGACGGTCCCAATGTCTTTATGCTTTAGGTGACATGTTAGCTCATTATGGAAAATCAAAGTCCGGTTAGCTCAGGTTCGAACCAAACAAATATAAATGGGTCCAACTGTGTTTCATCACCTCTAATTTTTCCTCAAAGACAACTTATTTCTACTACACTGGATGCGAACAATTTCTTGATTTGGAAGCAACAAGTACTTGACACCATGAGTTGGAAAAATTCATCAATGGAGAATGAGTACCAACACTTGAAAATAGGCTGAATCCAGAATCACAGTAGCTCCAACCAAACCCAGATTACTTCTTATGGAAAAGGCAATACCAACTTCTTGCATCTTGGCTTATTTCTCCCTATAGTGAAGGAGATATTATCCAGACGATTGGACTAGACCCAATAAGACAGATATGGACAAGTTTAGATGCGAACTTCGCAAGACAAACCACAACCAAGTTGCTGCATACAACATGCAGCTGCATAATTTGAAGAACAATCCTTCTATGAACATATATTTGAACCAACTGAAGGTGTGTTTGGATTATCTTGTTTCAATTGTGATATGGGATACCAGGGGCGACCATGAATTTTTTGTTGGATTCTATGAGGAACGTCAAACAACATGCACAGTATTGAACTCATCGAAATAAATCCTAACGCAGCGGAATCTATAGTTAGGATGTGGACGTTTACCTTTATAATTTTTGC